ACATGTTATAAATAATTCTTTTTTTTTTTGTTTGTTTGTCTTTTTGTCTTTTTTCCGTGTCCGGCAACGGATCGCAACCCTCAGTGTTGCCCCCGTACCACTCCGGGGAACGGCAACGGGATCAGAACCCTCGGTGTTGCTCCCGCGCCTCGCTCAGCCAGTGAGCGGGAACCGGTCTGTATGTGGGATCCGAACCCTCGGGCGGGAGCGCCGCCGCGCTTCCCAAGCGGCGCACTATCCAGTGTGCCACCGGGCTGGCCCCAAAGTATTTTTTAAAAGTAGTATCTGCTTTACTTTGTATTGAAACCCAACACCGGTAAAAAAAAGTTTCATACAGCATTCTTTTGAAATATCATATTTTCTAAGGTAGCTGAAAATGTACTGGTACATAATAGATAACTTAAAATTTTCTATAAATAATTTTTATCTTTTTTGGTATATTGAATTGTATTAGGAATTGTTTACAAAATGGATCATGCATTAGACTTAACCTTGTGTATTAGTTCATTTCTGTTGCTTATGACAAATTCTGGAAACTGGAAAATAAAGAAAACAGAATTTATTGATTACAGTTTTGGAGGCTGGGAAGTCTAAAATCCAGGTAACATGTCTGGTGAGGTTCTTGGTGGTAGCAACAGTGACCCGGGGGTCTCACATGGCAGAAATGGCAGAGCAAAGAGATAGAAACTCGTGCTCTCCCGTTAAAGCCCTCTGAACCATGCCGCTGACTACTGTTATTAATCCATTCACTATGGTATGGTCCTACAATCTAATCACCTTTCAAGGCCCAACCTTTCAATTACCATAATAGGATTTTCCACCCTCAACATTTATAGTGGGAATTAATCTTCTAATATATGAACTCTGGGGCACACAATTCAGTCAATCCACAGCAACTTGATTATAAAATTGGGTAGTTAACCTAAGATAAAAAAGAAAAGAAAGCCATAGGTCAATTATACTTACAAGCACACATGCAGAAATCCTTAAAAAAGGATTTTACATTTATGTAAAAATCATGAAAAGCTAAAATTAAAGGCAAATCAAATTAAGCAGTTTAACAAAAGAATAATAATTTAATAATTATCTAGTAGAATTCATTCCAGGAATACAGGGATGGTTCAACAGTAGGAAACTGATTACTGTAATTTTACTGCATTAGCAGATTAGAGGAGAAAACCTCAGTAGATGCTGAAAATTTAGTAAAATTTAACACTAATTTTTGTTTTAAACACTTCTTTGATTCAAGAAACAGAAGGTAAAGTTTTAAACTTAATACAGTATATATATAAGAATAGTTCAAAAAGTTCATGGAAAGACTTGTTTTATCTTTTAATTCTATTTTTCCACAAAATTTTTGAAGTACCCTCGTACATACCAGAAACCTATCTCAGGCATTATACATAATGATGAAAAATTGGAAGCATTACGATTAAAGTCAGGAAAAAGACGAGGTGTTTGCTGTCATTGTCTTCATTTAATGTTTTTCCAGAGGGCCTAGTCAATGCACTTAAAAAGAAAGAAATTAGAAACACAAATATTGGAAGAGAAGAGAAAACATAGACCTTATTTACAGATGATATGATTACCTCCCTAGAAAATCATAGTGGAGCAGCAGAAAACTATTACTAAATTCAATAAAGTGGCCTGACAGAAGATCAACATGCAAAAAAGAATAATCAGTTAACAAATGAAACGGTAAAGAATTAGTAACAAACCTCCCAAGTACTTTAGAATAGACTTAACAAGAAAAGTATAATTGTGAAAGAAAGGAGTCAACATCGATGGAAACAGATATAGACACAAATAACAACATGGATAAATCTGGAAAACAATGTTGAGCAAAAGATACTAAAGAATATGTATTATATGATTCCATTAGAACTCAAACAAACAAAAAAAAAAACCCAGTAAACTACAGTTTTTAGGAGGACATATGGTAACACAATAAAGAAAAGCAAGAGATGGTAATCACAAAAGTCATGATGGTGGTTACATCTGGGGGAGATGTATGGAGTTTGAAAGGGCATATGGAGAGCTTCTAGGTGTTGGCAACATTAAATCTTTTTCTTGGGTGGTGGTTACATGGGTATTTCCTGTATTTTTGCTAAACTTGTGTTATCTTTGATCTACTTTTCCAGAGGTGACTTTATGTCACAGTAAAAAAAAAAAAAAAAAAGAAAGAAAAAGGGAAAGGAGATGGATAAGTGTAACAGAATTCCAGAAACTGACTCGTGTGTGTGTGTGTGTGTGTGTGTGTGTGTGTGTGTGTGTGTGAATGAATTTATTACATGGTAAGTGAGGCATTTCAAACCAATGGGAAAGAGATGTATGAACCAATAAATGTTATGCGATAATTGGACTTTATCAAGGAAAATATTAGATTCCTAACTCATTCACAGTGATCAAAAATGTGTTCCAGATAATGATCTAAATATAAAAATGAAACTATATTAGTGGCAGAAGTAATTATAGTATTGAGATCTAAAATGTCTTCCATAGCAAGATAGTATATACAGACACCATAAAGGAAATAGATAAGTAGATTTAGCTATATATAAATTACAAATTTCTGTGCAGTAAAATAAATTAAAAATAAATGAAAAGAGTGGGAAAAAATATTTGCAATATCTATAACATAGTTTTATTTTTTACAATGTTTAAATTGCTCCTAAAATTGAACAACCTTAAAACAAGGTGAATAATTAGTATATAAAAGAAAAATTTTAATATTTAATATACTGGAAAATATTCTCAGCCTTTCTAAGAAGCAGAAATTCAAGACAGATTGATAATATCCAGTATTTATGAGAACGTGTAGAAATGACTTCTTTTGTGGGATTATAAATTGGTACAGCCTGTTAAAAGGGTAGTTTTTCTTAACATTTCAATTATGTTTTCACCCTATAATTCTATGTCTTAAAAGTTTGCCCTTCTGAAAGACTTGCATATGACACAAAGATGCATTACAGGCAAGTTCCTTATAGCATATAGATTAGGAAAAAATTGGAACCAATGCAATGTCTATCCCTAGAGGAATGGTTAAGTTAATTAATTATATCCATAGTATGGAATAGTGCTGTTGTTAATTTGCTTACTATGATGTGAAAATGTCAAGACACATTATTAAAAATTGTTTTTCATCTAATAACACATTATTATGTTTATGTAAAAATCATGAAAAGCTAAAATTCTATATGAGTATATAGTTACATATGTATTTAAATGCATAAAACAGTGTCTGGAAGGATACTCAAAAATATTAACAATAGTCACCTCCGGAGGTGGAGAGTGACGTAGACTATATACATTTTTACTCTTGTTTGAATTTTTTTTTTTTTTTTTTAAATATGGCCGGTAAGGGGATCTCAACCCTTGGCTTGGTGTTGTCAGCACCACGCTCAGCCAGTGAGCCAACCAGCCATCCCTATATAGGATCCGAACCCGTGGCCTTGGTGTTATCAACACTGTACTCTTCCGAGTGAGCCACAGGACGGCCATCTTTGTTTGAATTTTATGTAGTGAACATGTATTGTATAACTAATCTTTTTTTAGAAAAATTCATCTCTTTGTTATTGGGTTTTTGAAACGATGATCTACTATAATGTTAGAAAACTTAAAATTAACATTCATATCTGAAAACCAAACTATTTAGTTGATGATTGGAGAAGAACCCTTTTCCATATTTTCTGTGAATCTATTGTTTCTCGTTAAGCAGCATATCAAACACTACAGTGTTTATTTTTAAAGATAATATATTTTGAAAGAGTGACAGCAATATTGGTTTTACCTTTTTCTTATTTAAAATTTTTATGAATTTGGAATTTTCAAATGAGCACCTCAAAATCTTCATCTAATTTGTAGTTTTACTTCTTGTCCAGGCCCATCAAACTCCAGTGAAGAAAGTGAATCCTGGAGAAGAAAGGAGGAAAATGTTTGAGGTATAAAGACATCTGCTGCTTATTTTAAAGCTTTGCAAGAATAATTACAAAAAAAGAAACAAAATCTTACGTTATAAAGCCTCCAAACCTTTCCTCCTTGTTTCTTTCAAACAAATACCTATAACTTTTTATTTTTTTTTAACTTCCCTGGGCGTACATCAGCCATTGGTATACCAGCTTTCCTGATAAAACTAGAAAAAGTAGGAATTATTATTGATAAAAATGTTTTTGTTTTTTTTTTTTTAAGGAAGGAGTAAGAAAGAGAAGGTTGGAATTAGCCGAAAAAGAAAAGAAACAAAAGGATCAGGTAGTTTTTGCTCCTATTTCTTCCTTGTTCAAGTTGTAGGTGATGATAATTTCAAGAGTTCTAAGAAGTTTGTCTTTAAAATTGTTACAGATTAGTTTAGTGAAGGCTGAACAAATGAAAAGGCAAGAAAAGCAAAGGGTAAGAGAATAACATTTTTTCCGTGGTACATTCTTCCCCTCCCCATGTACATAAATTTCTTTTTAAAGAGTACATTGATTTCCTTTTTATTGCTAAATGTATTTCATATATTTTATATTTAATACTTGAAATGGTGTTTTGTTTGTTTGTCTCCCGCCAAAAGTTGGAGAGAATAAATAGGGCCAGGGAACAAGGATGGAGAAATGTGCTAAGTGCTGGTGGAAGTGGTGAAGTAAAGGTAGGCATTTGATACCAATGTAGTTATATTACTGTTATTTTTTTCCTCCACTTTTGCTTTGTACTTTAAAATGTATGTAACTAGCTTTTTTTTTTGTATACACTTAATTTTTATGCAGAATTCTCGCCATTTATTATGAATTCTTAGCTTTCCTGCATGTATCTGATATATAACTTGTATTGATAAGTAATATGTGACACTGTAAAAATTGCTTTAAAAAGTTTTATGTGAAGGTCGTGATACACCATTCCTGTTAGAGGAATCTTTTAAAAATCAAATATAGTTTGCCACACCTCTGCCTAAATTCCTTCTGTAGTTCAAGTAGCCTTAAAGATTAAGTTCTCAGAGGATCCTTCTTAATCTGGCCCCTGCCAGTCTCTCCAAATTAATCTCCATCAGTTCCTTACCGCACACTATAAGCTGTATTCATACTGAACTAAAGACTGTATTTGTAGTTTCCTTACTGTATGTATCCTGCTGAATCTCTTTGTCTTCACACTTGTGTTTCTGTTTACTTGATAGCACCCCTCCTTCCCTGTTCATCCTCAATTCCACCTCCATTTACCTAGATAACCATTTAACTAAATACATTAATTCAGAGATTTTTTGTGTAAATTCTGACTATATACCTTGATCAAGGTACTTACCTTTCCTCAGCTTTAGTTTCTTCATTTAACCTAATCATTTACCTAGATACATTAATTCAGAGATTTTTTTGTGTATATTCTGACTATATACCTTGATCAAGGTACTTACCTTTCCTCAGCTTTAGTTTCTTCATTTAAAAAAATGTTTATTTTCTGATAACAGTGCCTGCAGCTTGTCTAACAGGGGCTCATACAGTAATTTACTTTTCCTTTCTTTGTTCCACCAATCTGAGTCTTGTACTTCATCTTTTACTCTTATTGCGTCCTATATGTATCTCTATCTGTGGTACACCAAATTCTAAGATGGTCTCCAAGATTCTCAATCCCCGGTGTACACACCATGTATTATTCCCTCATTATTTTCCTTGGGTGGAACCTATGAATATAGGTTTAGTAGCTCCCTTGATTAGGTTATGTTTTGTGGCAAATGGTGGTGGTATAGTCACTCTCATGATTGCATTAATATATAAAAGTCCCTCGTAGTAGACTGGAAGGGGAACAGAAGTCACAGAGACATACTTCTGCTGGCCTGAAAGACAGCAAACATTCACGTGGCTAGAAGGTATAGGTAGCCTCCAGATCCTGATAATGGTCTCTGACCAACAACTACCAAGAAAATGGTGACCTTAGTCATATAGTCACAGGAAATGAATTCTGCCAAGAACCAGTGAGTATGGAAGAGATTCTGAGCCTCAGATGAGAATTGTAGCCCTGGTTAACACCTTGATTTCTTCCTGGTGAGATTCTCAGCCAGGGACTCAGCTAAACATACCCAGACTCCTGAGCCATGGAAGCTGAAGCTGTGAGATAATAAATGGATATTGGTTTAAGCTGATGAGTTTGTGGTAGTTTGTCACACAGCAATAGAAAATGAATACGCTATTATTCCTCTGTATTATAATTTTAATTTGAATCATCGAATCAACTTAATCAACACATCTTTAACCTGTGAATTCCCCTGACCAATGCCTGTTAAATGTGATATTTAGGTATGTGATAGATATTTGTCAAGTTGAATTGATTACCATTCTTACTTGTTTCTTTCCCCAAAATTTATGATTGGAATAGAAGTTTGTTTTATTTGTTTTTTCTATACATAAATATTTGGCCCACGATTTGTAGATTTGTTTTCCAGTCTCTTGAGATGTAGAAGTTTTTCATATCATAGGTCAATAATTCAGTGAGTCACCTTTTCCAATTCTGTATTAATGTAGACTTATACAATAGTTTCAGTAATACTATTTTGTATTACTTATGATACTCCTTATCATTCAGTTCTACTTAATAGAATTTATTACCTCCTGAATGATAAGGAATGACTCAGACAGAATTTGGCTTATTCTAAATTAACTAACTCCATATCTTATCTGATTGGAAAGGAAAAACTTACCAAAGTGTAGGCCTTCAGGTCTTATCAAGCGTTTTGTATCAAGCCCATGTTTAGTGTTGAGATTTTGATGATTTTTTTCCTTCTCTCTATGTAATAATTTTTCCTATGATGTCTAAAGCAATGTTTAATCCTAAATGTCCAATTTTATCAATGTTGTTTGATAATTTGAGATAGTTTTTCAATAGTTCGATACTACATGCCTAATAGGTTTCTATTTCACTTTATAAATTTCTGCAGTGCTTTCATTGAGAGTTAATAAAACTATTTTCTATGATTTAAAGCAAATTCTATGTTAGATTCTGTACTTATTTCTCATTGAGTGAAATATTTAACTTATTAGGCTGTTTGATATCTGAATAGTTGATAAGGACCTGGAGGCTCAGTATAATGTGAATCAAATTATGGAGGTCTCCAAAATAAAGGTAAAATGAAACTAAACATTGAGGGAATTATTTCAAAATTAATACTGTTATTATACCCCCTAAATAATAGGCATTATTATTCATACTATAAATATGCAGCTGTCTTTGATTATTTAGTATCTGCAAAATCTGTTACTTCTTTGCCTTATCCATTTTTAATACATCTCTTACGAATGTGTTTGTAGAAAAATTATGATATATTTCACATATAAAGGTTGATCATATGGTGATCATGATTTGTAAGAGCTGTATCTATGTTTGAAAATATATCTAAATGGTATTCATAAAATAGGAGTAGTCTATTTATACATTCAACAACATAGATCAATCTCAAAAACATACTGAGTGAAGGAATTTAAAGAGTACATATTGTATGATTCTATTTGTATAAAATTATAGAAAAGACAAATCCAATCTATAGTGACAGAAAGTACATCAGTGGTTGCTGGCAGTGAGGGGGTATTGACTGCAAAGGAACATGAGGGAACTTTCTGGGTTAATGGATGTGCTTTTGATTGTGGTGGTGGTGGTAGTTACATGAATGTATACATTTGTCAAAATTCATCAACCTATACTTATAATTGGTGACTCTCAGTGTGTATAAATTATGCCCCAATAAAATTGATTTTTAAAAGACCATATTGCTTCAATATTCTAATACAGTATTTTAGACATTTTGAGTATAAGCATCTTTAGAGATGTTTACGTATTTTTGTTTGTAACAAAATATGGAAACATTAGAAACACTGAAAATCAAGTTAAGATGATATTAGCTCTGGACTAAACTCAAGAGGTAACCATTTCCATGGGAGATGTGACCACCTTTTAATAGACTTCGGATTGTGATTCTTGACTTAAGATGCTCATTTTGAGAACGCTCATTCTGAGGACCCTCTTGATGGAGTTTCTTGCCTAATTATTTTTCCTTTTTCTAACAACTTTCATCTCTTGTTCTTTGAACATCTTTAATCAATTATGTATATTTATCTTAAACTGATTTTTTAAAAATCATGCTTTCTTATAAAATTGTGTGCACCTTACTGTGTCAAGATGTCAAAACAAATTTTATCTCATTAGGTTACACTGAAGTTATAAAAATTTGATTCTAATATTTTTCTTTGCATCTTTTCTTAACCAGACTTTTTCCTTCTGAAAGCTCTTCCTCCTTTACTGTCAGTATTCTGGCTTTTGTTCTCATCACTTCACAAGAAAAGTGTTTTTTTAAAGGCTGCCACTCAACTTTAGTCAAGTCTGTTCGTCTTATTTTCAGTGCTATTGACCTCTCCATTTGAGATTATAGATTTCTTTTTCTCGATGAAATTCTTCCACCATGACTTCTGTAGCATTATACACTTTTTACTTACTTTTTACTCTTATCCTTTTCTGACATCTCTATTTTCTGAGTTTTCCATGTAGTTGAATTATGTCTCTGTGGTTAAATCCTTATGTTCTTGCCTTTATCCTTTGTCATTCCCAGAGAATCCACAACTCCCTTCAATATTTACTTTTTCATTGATTGCCTTTCTTTACTTCTAGACTTCTTGTCTTGGTGTCAGTGCAATAGCCTTTTGGTTAGTTTTCTCTTTATCCTTTGTCATTCCCAGAGAATCCACAACTCCCTTCAATATTTACTTTTTCATTGATTGACTTTCTTTACTTCTAGACTTCTTGTCTTGGTGTCAGTGCAATAGCCTTTTGGTTAGTTTTCTACCTTGGTCTCTCTCTTATTCCTGTATATCATGCATAATATTGACTTACTGTCCATCTTAGAAATTGTTGTGGCATATTACTACTGCTAGAAAGTTTATAAATTATTTCTATGGTTTATTATATTAATGCAAATACCCAGGGCTGACAGTGCTTAGCTATACCAACCTTTTATAGCCTATTTCTACTTATATTTGTCATCCTATTTCCTTCTTCCCGCTACCTTCAATACCCAAGTATGATGTATACATATTGCTTATTTTTACTTTAATGCCTTGGTTCATATTTAATCTCTCTTTGTTATATTGCTATCAAGACCAGGTTAAACATCTTTTTCTGCAAGATTTTTTTTTTAAATAGGGATTTTACTTTTGATTTTTTGTTTTTTTCTCCATTTTTTGAATTTGCTCAGTACTTACTATTTTGGAATGTCCCTGTTATCATTTATTTATCACAGGATTAAAATGTTCTTCTAGTTTTCTGCTTTCTTTATCAACTTGTTTGGAAATGCTTTAAGGATAGATGTGATATATTGCCTTTTTTATCTACAAATAAGTATGTTTTGGTAATGTTTATGTCTTCATATCAGCTTGGTATTGAATTGAAGAATTTGAGTTATATTAAAAGCCATATGCAAATGTTTTTGTTAAATATAGTGTGTCATAAAAGCATTAAGTATTTAAACTTAATAGAACAAGATCACATGAAATGTATACTAGAAGCCTGTTTCAAAACATGTTAAGACTATATTTTTCCATATTTACATGAATTTAGTGACATTTTGCTATTTTTGTTTAACACATTAAATTATGCTTTGTTGTTAGTAACAAAGTATACTACTTTTTGATTGTTAAATGGTTATGGTATAGTAGAAAACATTTTGCTTTAGGCTATAAGTTAATTAATATGTTCAAATTAAGTAATTGCCTTTTAAAAGTCAAGCATTGAAATTTACTTTTAAGAATAGAACAGGCCTTTTAGGCTGTATAAGATAAACATGTGAGAGCTCTGTGTTTAATCCCTAGGCTCCCTTTTTTGGCAGTGGAGGGGCTGTAGTTCCATCATCCTTTTCTTCTCGGGGACAATATGAACATTACCATGCCATTTTCGATCAAATGCAGCAACAAAGAGCAGAAGATAATGAAGCTAAATGGAAAGGAGAAATACATAGTCAATGGCTTCCAGAAAGGTATGACTATGTTCTGCAGAAATTGCTTATGCTTTGCTTCAGAGAAAGTAATGAAAGTCACTGTGCATATTTATCTACAGAGGAATTCCACCTAGAGTTCGTCCAGGATTTCCTAATGGCGCTGCAGGTCATCACCATTTCCCTGATGCTGATGCTATTAGAAAATCTTTGAAAAGATTGAAGGTCGTGTCTAAACAAGCCAGTACAAACAGGTTGGACTGTGATGATCCATGAATTCATCCTTGTGTGTAATTCTGTCTCTTGTCATATATAGCTTAGTACCTACATTTTGTAGATAAATTTTTCATTGTTTACACAGAATATTTCTTGCCTCCTGGATGCAATACGTTTCTCAGGTGCAGATTTGGCCCTTGATTACATTATGGCAAACATGTAGCTCTTAAATTCGGCTTGATTTCTGTGGTTTATTTATGTGTTTAGACTGAACATACTAGTTAAAGGAACATGTGATAACTTCCAGCTAACATATGGTTGTAATAATTTCATCCACTTGCTTTAAATAAATCAGAATATAAATTTAAATGGAATCACGTTTTATGCAAAACTCCAAAACATGTTTTTATCTTCCTTTTCCTCATCACTTCGAAGCCCAATTTTCTCTCTGTTGTCTTAGCATGTTTTCTCTTTACATTCATCTCTGATTTGTACTCCTGTGTGATCCTGTTCAACAGAATTTTCCTTTTCTTCCATTGAATTAATTTAATGTTAACTGTCAATAGCTGTAATTTGCATAGTTCTTTTTTCCTTAAGTATGCAAATATGTTCTTAGACATTCCTATTTCTTCTGTAAAACATTCTTGTGAGTTATGGAAGAACATAACGTTTTGTGAAAATCTAGAACATCATCTTTTCCTTGTGATTTTAAGGAGAATAGAATCAAGTGTTATAAAAATCTTTGATTCTCTCCGCCTATTATAAAAGATGATTTAAATGTACTTGAGCAGAGATAAATAATTGAGGTAAATGTAAATTAACATTATGAATACATTATACATTATGTACAGAAGCCTGAGGTGTGAAGCTAATTATAGATTGTGTCCACTTTTGAGAAAGGCTGCAGACTCACACATATACATATTTTTGAAGAACAGTGAAGCAAGTTTTGTGTGATGATTTTATCCTCTGATATTATTGATATTTCTAGTATATATTTTTCAATTAATAATTTTGATTTTTAGAGGACTTTTAGGTTCACAGCAAAATTGAGCGGAAAGTAAAGAGTTCCCTTATACCCCTTCCCCACACATGCACAACTTTCCTATCAACATCCTCGTCCAAGTGTTAACATTTGTTGCAATTGATGAAACTACATTGACCCGTTATCACCCAAAGTCCGTAGTTCCATTAGGGTTCACTCTTGGTGTTTTACTTTCTGTGGGTTTTGACAAAAGTATAATTACATGGATTCACCATTGTAGTACCACACAAGATAGTGCCATTGCCCTAAAAATCCTGTTTTCTATCCATCGTAAAAACTTCCTATAGCATCCAATTTTGTGTGATGATTTTATCCTCTGATATTATTGATATTTCTAGTATATATTTTTCAATTAATAATTTTGATTTTTAGAGGACTTTTAGGTTCACAGCAAAATTGAGCGGAAAGTAAAGAGTTCCCTTATACCCCTTCCCCACACATGCACAACTTTCCTATCAACATCCTCGTCCAAGTGTTAACATTTGTTGCAATTGATGAAACTACATTGACCCGTTATCACCCAAAGTCCGTAGTTCCATTAGGGTTCACTCTTGGTGTTTTACTTTCTGTGGGTTTTGACAAACGTATAATTACATGTATTCACCATTGTAGTACCACACAAGATAGTGCCATTGCCCTAAAAATCCTGTGTTCTATCCATTTCTTTCTCTCTCCTAACCCTTGGCAACCACTGATAATTTTACCATCAGTATAATTACATGGATTCACCATTGTAGTACCACACAAGATAGTGCCATTGCCCTAAAAATCCTCTGTGTTCTATCCATTTCTTTCTCTCTCCTAACCCTTGGCAACCACTGATAATTTTACCATCTCCATAGTTTTATTTTTTCCAGAATGCCATATAGTTGGAATCATACAGTATGTAGCCTTTTTAGATTGGATTCTCTCACTTAGTAATATGCATTTAAGGTTTCTCCATATTTTTTTGTATCTTGATAGCACATTTCTTTTTAGGGAAGAATAATATTTCATTGTCTGGATGTGCCACAGTTTATGCATTCATCTACTGAAGGACCATCTTAGTTGTTGCCAAGTTTTGGCAATTATGAGTAAAGATAATACAAACATCCATGTGCAGGTTTTTGTGTGGTAAACATGGAAGAGCACAATTGCTAGAACATATGTTAAGAGCATGTTTAGTTTTGTAAGAAACCACCAAACTGTCTTCCAAAGTGGCTGTGCAATTTTTCATTCCCACCAGCAAAGAATGAGAATTCCTGTTGCTCCACATCAGCACCAGCATGTGATATTTAATTGTTTGGCATTTTTACCATTTTAATTGGTATGTAATGTTATCTCATTGTTGTTTTAATTGTAATTCCCTCATGATGTGATATTGAACATCTTTGCATATGCTTTTTGCCATCTGTATCTTTTTTTTGNCAAAGTCCGTAGTTCCATTAGGGTTCACTCTTGGTGTTTTACTTTCTGTGGGTTTTGACAAAAGTATAATTACATGGATTCACCATTGTAGTACCACACAAGATAGTGCCATTGCCCTAAAAATCCTCTGTGTTCTATCCATTTCTTTCTCTCTCCTAACCCTTGGCAACCACTGATAATTTTACCATCTCCATAGTTTTATTTTTTCCAGAATGCCATATAGTTGGAATCATACAGTATGTAGCCTTTTTAGATTGGATTCTCTCACTTAGTAATATGCATTTAAGGTTTCTCCATATTTTTTTGTATCTTGATAGCACATTTCTTTTTAGGGAAGAATAATATTTCATTGTCTGGATGTGCCACAGTTTATGCATTCATCTACTGAAGGACCATCTTAGTTGTTGCCAAGTTTTGGCAATTATGAGTAAAGATAATACAAACATCCATGTGCAGGTTTTTGTGTGGTAAACATGGAAGAGCACAATTGCTAGAACATATGTTAAGAGCATGTTTAGTTTTGTAAGAAACCACCAAACTGTCTTCCAAAGTGGCTGTGCAATTTTTCATTCCCACCAGCAAAGAATGAGAATTCCTGTTGCTCCACATCAGCACCAGCATGTGATATTTAATTGTTTGGCATTTTTACCATTTTAATTGGTATGTAATGTTATCTCATTGTTGTTTTAATTGTAATTCCCTCATGATGTGATATTGAACATCTTTGCATATGCTTTTTGCCATCTGTATCTTTTTTTTGGTGAGTTGTCTGTTCAGGTTTTTTGCTCGTTTTTAATTGGGTTGTTCATTTTCTTATTGTTGAGTTTTTAAGAGTTCTTTGTATATTTTGGTTAACAGTCCTTTATCAGATACATCTTTTGCAAATAATTTCTCCCAGTCTATAGCTTGCCTTCCCATTCCCTTGATACTGTCCTTTGCAGAGCAGAAGTTTGTAATTGTAATGAAGTCCTGCTTATCAGTTGTTTGTTTCATGGATAGTGCCTTTTGTGTTGTATCTAAAATGTTATCACTATATCCAAGTTCATCTAGGTTTTCTCCCACATTATCTCCTAAGAATTTTATAGCTTTCTGTTTTACTTTTAGATCTATGATCATTTTAAATTAATTTTTGTGAAGGATGTAAGCTCTGTCTAAATTTAGTTTTTTGTATGTGGATATACAGTTGTTTAACATTTCTTGAAAAGACTGTCTTTGCTCCTTTGAATTGCCTTTGCTTCTTTGTCAGAGATCAGTTGACTGTATTGATATAGGTCTATTTCTGGGTACTCTGTTCTGTTCTGTTGATGTATTTACTTTTTAGCCAATACTACAGTGTGTTGATTACAGTAGCTACATAGTTAGTCTTTAAGTCAGATAGTTATAGTCCTACAACTTTGTTCTTCTCCTTTAATATTGAGTTGGCTATTCTGGGTCTTTTGCCTCTCCATGTAAACTTTAGAATCAGTTTGTTGGTATCTACAAAATAACGTGCTGAGATTTTGATTGGCATGTGTTCAATCTGTACATCAATTTGGGAAGACCTGCATTTTGACAATACTAAGTCTTCCTATCCTTCCTATTGAATCTGGATATTGCTCCATTTATTTAGTTTTTCTTTGATTTCTTTCATCAGAGTTTTATAGTTTTCTTCATAGAGATCTGTGCATATTTTGTTAGATTTGTACCTATGTATTTCATTTTTGAGGGTGCTAATGTAAATGGTAATATATTTTTAACTTCAAATTCTACTTGTTCATTGCTGATATATGGGAAAGCCATTGACTTTTGTATATTAACCTTGTATCCTGCAGCCTACCTATAATCGATTATTAGAATTCTTAGTCCCCGGATTTTTTTTTTTTTTTTTACTTCTTTTGGATATTCTACACAGGATTGTGTCATCTGTGACCAGTTTTATTCCTCCCTTTCCAATCCGTATACCTTATGTTTCCTTTTCTTGTCTTATTGCATTAAGCTAGAACTTCCAATATGATGTTGAAAAGCAGTGTTGAGTAAGGACATCTTTGCTTTGTTTGTTTTCTTCGTGGAAAAGCTTCAAGTTTCTCACCATTAAGTATAATGTTAACTTAGGTTTTTTTGTAGATATTCTATATGAATTTATGGAAGTTCCCCTCTGTTCCTAGTTTTCTGAGAGTGTGTTTTTGTTTTTCTGTTTCTTTTCTTTTTTAAAAAAATCATGAATGCATGTTGGATTTTGCCAAATGCTTTTTATTTGCCTCTATTGATGTGATCATGTGATTATTCTTCTTTAGCTTATCAATGTAATGCATTACATTATTTGATAATTGTATGTTGAACCAGCCTTGCACACCTGGGATAAATCCACTTGGTCATGGTGTATAATTCCTTTATATATTTTTGGATTTGGTGTGCTAATATTTTGTTGAGGATTTTTGTATCTAGATTCATAGGATATTGGTATATAATTTTATTCCTTGTATTGTCTGTGTCTGGTTTTAGAACTAAGGTAATACTGGCCTCACAGAATGAAGAATTCCCTCTGCTTCTATCTTTTTGAAAAGATTGTAAAGAATTGATATTATTTCTTTTTAAACATTTGGTGGA